GTGATGCTGCCTCCCTGGGTTCTTCCTCAACTCCTGCGAGCTTCTTGGCTCTTCCGTACCCTGTGCTGAGCTCCAAGGTACCTCAAGGCAGTGGTTCCAGAGACACCAGCACAGCTCAGTTTAATGCCATGTCCTGTATTGAAGTCCTCTCTCCTTCAAAGACAGTGATTTTTTTCCATTTCCCTTAGATGCATCTCATTTCTAGATTTCCAAGGGCTGAAATCTGATAAAGTCCTCGGTGACAGGTGAGAGAGTAATGAACCCATTCAGGCCCTGAAATCACCCAAACTGACTTTGTTTTCATCTTAGTTCTGACAGTTCTAGCTGTGCTATCCTGGTCAACGTATTAACCCTCTCTGGGCCCCAGTGTCATCACTTGTAAAACCTAGATAATAAAACAATTCTGCCATGGAGACAGCCCTTGGTAGGCCTCCAGCAGGTTGCCTGGCCACTGCTATGTACTCCATAAACATTAGTTACCCTCACATCTCCGAAAGTGGTCATATCTGTTAAGGTATGTGTACCTACCCCCTCCAAGGAAATATATTTGTATTGTAACAGTGATCTTTTGGAAACAAATACTTTAGTCGGAGTACTTAATTTTAGATCTCAAATACCCACAGCAAGACCATCAGAAAGATAGTTTTGAACAAGCTGAACTTTGAGAGCCTTCACACCTCTCTGAGGAGGTGTCCACCTACTCTCTGGGGACTGGGGAGGGTCCTGGGCCACCTCGTCCTCTCTCTGATCTGCGACGAGGCGCCTGCCGGTGCTGATAAGAGAAATGATCTTGCTCCCCCCACCCCGGCCCCTGGGGAAGTAGAGTGTGTGGGGCTCAAATGTGTGGGAGTCTGGCCAAGGGTTATTTTTGTTTCCATTAACATTCTCATCTATATGTTTTTAAACTTTAATCAAAGGCATATGTTTTTGTTTTATTTGCACTTAGTTCATCAAAGTGTCCCTTATGATGTGAACTATGCCATGAAGCCTTAAGCTCTTCAGTGAAACACTCATTAATACCCCTGGGAAACAGGAAGTTGCATTTAGTCAAATATAAATAAATCCAGCTCCCAGGGGCTTTGCCCTGGCCTGGGTCAGGAGAGAGACAGTGACTTCTCAGTTGATCTAATCCTTTGCCCCCCTCTCAAACTGCATTTTCCAACAGAAATCCCAGGGGTGTGGACTGATCAGTGTTTTGAGAATGTGCCTATCCTTTGTTCGAAACCGGTCTGTAGTCAAATGGAGTTTTACAAAGGGAAGAGATTCTGTTGATTTGGCTGAGGAATGGAGTATCATTCCAGATTTATTTGCACCCCTAAAAGAGCTGGAAACCAGGCAGCGCAGGAAGGAAGTAAGGAGGAGGAAGAAGGGTCTGTAAGCCTAAACCACGTCACCCAAGTCTCTGTGCAGTTCACGCTGGAGAACTTTCCATCTTTCCCTGTCTTCCTGCTTCCCTCTCTCCCTCTAACTCTCCGGCTGCACATATGGATCCCATTAGGAACAAAGCCTGATTGTTGTATATTTGGAATTTCCCACATCAACTTGATGCTTTCTTTAACTGCCTCTTAATGTGTGTCTGAGTTGGGTGACCAGACCCACGTCTCCATCCCTCCCACCGCCACCCCCACCAACACCCCCCCACCCCCGTTCTTTTTCCTGATTCATTTTCGAGCAGCGGCAAACTCCACTTTTTTTCCCTCTGCGCCCCACCCCCACTTCCCATCAGATTCTTAGAATAAACAGAACTTTCTTTTCCATCGTTTTCAATAAATGAGCCTGCAGAGAGTAAATAAAACCTGGTTCCCAAAGCAGAAGAGTGATATTAGGCAAACACCCAAAAGCACAGGATTTTTACAAAGGAAATGGCATCCCGTTCATAAATCCTGGGATCGGAGAGGAGCAGCGGATGCAGAAATATGTTAAAAAGAAAAAAACTAAAATACTGTCAATCCTGGAAGCCCCTTGCTTTTCTTTTTAGTCATTTTCTCTGCTATAGAAATAAGCAGATTGAGGGAGGAGTAGAGATGGGGTGGGGGGTGTTGCAGAAGTGAATAAGCTATCAGTAACAAAATATCACAGGAAACTTAAATTTTTAGGGCATGTGTACCATTGGTCTGAGAAGCTTGTCTGATGTGGAATTATACCATGTGATTAGGGACGAACAGGCAAGTGTGATGGGTACATCTGAGCTTAGACAGTCCTTTGCAGAGCCTTGTAAAATCAAACATAATTTCTTCATGTTTATTGCCATACATAAAAATAAATGCTCTGTAACACAAACATTTAAATGAGGAGATGCCAAATGCAAGTCTGTCTGGTATATTTGATTTGATTCATCTGAGCCATGTGATACAAACATTTTCTCCTTTCGTATTTCACACTTTCTCTTTGTGGACTGCATTCACATATATAATTAACTATATGCCTAATTTCTTTCCCATCCATTGGAAAGCTGCAAGGAAAGAAACAGACATGCATGTCTGATGCTCAGGGTCATACGTATAATTTATGACTGCGAAGAGGGATCCCCCCAAGTCCCCAGTGTGTTATGTCACTGGCCTCCAACTATTTTTCCTGTGTTCAGAAGAGAGTGAAATCAGAATGCAGGACTGCGCATTAATCTCCGCACCAGATGGTGATATTCCAAATAGTCTTTTTAAGGTGAGCATGTGACCTACTGTATGGCCGAGGGGCTTGGAGTCACGTGATGGGATGAATAATACGTCTGATAGGGCTTCGAATCAACAACTGACCTGGTTACCATCTGGAACCACAAGAAACAAAGTTGACATTTCTGGATCACTTCCCCCAGCAGCGTCATTTGCCCACTTCTGGGACCTGCAGACTCACTGGGAGACTGACACGCAGGGGCAGGCAGGAGGGAGCTGGGCTGAGCTGCTGGAGGCAAGCTGAAGTTGCAGAACTTGGGCTGTTTTCCTTCCTCCCCACCCCCCACCTCCCGACACACCACATCTTGACTCATATGGTCGAAAGAAAAAGCTCTTTCGGTTATTTGATCTTTGGGAAACCTCCAGGAGACCGTAACTTAGTTTTGAGGACGCCTCCGTCTCTCCCTTTGCTGGGAACAGACACACACACACAGGCACACGCACACTCACACAGTCACACTTACACACGGCTCTACACCATGGTGGTCCAGGCTGCAGTGGCTCCGAATAGATCCCAAAGACTTTTACTGAAAATTCCTTATGGATCTCTGAGAAGACGCAGCGTGGAGAGGGTAAGCGACGTGGTCGACTGTTTGTTTTTCACCGAGCAATTGCTTCAAAGAAAGGGAGACGGTTCTTTTCATTGTACACAGCATCCCTTCTGGTAGTCATGTTTTCCTGAAAAATTCAAACCCCTGGGTCTGTAGAATACTCTGGCATATGTAATTTGTTTTTCTTAGCAGATAATGATGAGAATTTTGAAACAAATTTTTGTCGGCTGTGCATGGGGGTGGGGGCTGTTAGAGATGAAATACAAGAGAAAAGATTGGGGTAGGGACTGCCCTCTGGAGAGAGGATGGACGATGCGAGTGCTTGTCGAGAAGAGCTTTGGGCTGCAAAACCTGTTTTCTTCTTCGTTTAGTGAAACAGATCCACTCGTGCAGCAGGGCTGAAAATTTCCTTTCCTCTGCTGGGTGACAGTGTCTTCAAAAGAGGTGATGGTGATGTGAAGGAACTGTGATGTTTTGAGGGTTTAAATGATGCACCTGGTTGATTAAAATCCCCTCTGTTGTTTTGTTGCTACTGTTGTTTCAAATACCTTTCTATCATCTGGGGCGTTTTTTAAAATACTGTGGATTTTGGCTCAAAATTACTCTGTTAATTTTCTGAAAGCACGCTTACTGTACGGTACTGCCTGGCAAAGAAGATGCTGTGAAACAATAATGGGGATTTCTCCTTCTCTGGAGTGACTGGTGCAGTTTGGGGTGGGGGCTGGAGTCAAAGCACGTCTGGTCGTCCTCAGGACGCTGGGCTCATTCCCGCGGGGACAGTGCCTGCACCCACGCAGGGCTGGGATGTTTGTGGGTCTCAGAAACCCCCAAAGCCCCTGTTTGAATCATGGCAGCACACCCCCCGCCCCCCGTGCGCTATGGATGTCTGCTTAGACATTTTGGGTTAAGGTGTAATCTAAAATCAATAAGGCGACGGGCATCGCAAACGGCCCTCATGACAGAGAAGCAACCTGCTGCACCTCGTAAGAGGAACAGCATTTAATTCAAGTGACTTTTTCTGGTTTGTGTACTTACCACCCAGTGATTTTTAAATGGAAGGAAAACGTGATTAAAGCTTTACAAATACGAGGGGCTAGCTAGACTTCCAGGCGGGGTTGATTTCCTGACTTTTGATGTTAACATTTTTTTCCTGCTATTTGCATATTAATGAAGAAAAAAAAACTTCACCTCCCATTCGGGCTGTGTGTAGGTCTTTATTTCAAGACGGATTTCTTGTGCTCCATATCAGTCAACAACTTAAATGTGTTCAGTGCCTAACTTGTGCCCGCTTTTGTACCAAGAGCTACTGAATATAGGACCAACCGGTATAGCAAAATTTATAAATTTATCATTCTAGTTACACATTTAGTGTCTACTGAACGTGATTTTAGTTTCTGGTGAAAATGTTTTGACCTATCTGGTAACTAAGTTTCTTTAATATATTCTGTTCACAAAAACTCACTTGGAAGCGTGACTTACTCGCAGTGGAATTATACAACATGACTAACCCCACGGAGAGAGTTCTCCTGCAGATATGCACAAAACCCCATAGTAACCTATTTAACTGTTAGCATCTCCAGATGGATGCTTAATAAATCACGTGCGTTTAGTAAATCCAGATGTATCCAGTTACTGTTTCTGTTATTTGTTTAAGAAAAACTAACAGGGTACGAACACGGTGTCTTGTATAAAACATGTCTGTTGTTGTACGTGCTGGCATTTACTTACATTCAAGACATGGACCTATGTCCGGCCCTTGGGCACACACCAGTGTTGCCTGGGTCTTAGGAACTCTGTGGAGTCTGATCCAAAAGCCTCTGGGCCCTTCAGAGAAGCACGTACATCACTGGAGCATCAAATGTCCTATTGCTCTCCATTTCTAGCTGGGAAATGGTGGGGCTGGGACACCATCACTCAAAGAAGAGTCCCCTTGCATTGCTATGAGCTCCCCTCTCACCCTCCACCACAGGGGACAGTGCGAGTAATTGGAATCTATGATGTCACGTCGGTTTCAATTGGATCTTTTACGCCGTTGCTGATTTTATGGCAGTTTTCAGAATCAGAGTCATCTGTTTATATAAAAGTGGGGGGAGGAAAGGTGAGAAATGACATCTGCTTTAAGGGCAGGCACTGGGAACCAGCACTCTTTCCTCAGGATGCCCAGAATTAAAGGCCACGACAGCTTTCTCAGCTACATCAGCAGCCCAGAGGGCAACAGACATTCGGGATTTCTTCCGTCTCATGGCATTTAATGATTCTAAGGCCTCGCCTTTCTATAACACCTCTGCCCCGATGCCCTTTCATATTTGTTCTCTCTTGACGACTGTGAGTTGGTAATGAGACGCAGAGAACGGGGATTATTACCCTTGTCCTGTATGGATGGGGAAACCACAGCATTCTAGAGGTTTCGTCTTCTGTCTGGGCACAGACAGTCAATGACAGAGCAGGACCTTAATCAAGGGACCCGGTATCTTCCATGCCGACCACTGAGCCTGTGTTTCATCACCTCCACTCCTTGGGGGAGCCTGGACAGTGTAGCTTGGCCCTGAGAAATGGGTTACACCCAACTTGTCACTAGTACTTCACATGAAAGGAAATTTACCAAAGGCAGAGGTGCAGAGACCAGAGAGAATGACTAACTCACGACCTAGTGTGCTGACAAGTCATGAGCCCTTACATGCCCAGGATTAAACAAGGGCTTCCGTTTTCCAACTGCCTAGAAGTTGAGTGGGAAAAACAAGAAATGCACCTTTCTAACCATGCTACAGCGACAGCGGTCAAATTTTGATTTCAAAAACATTCGGGCAGGAAGACCAAGCCTAGTTCTTGTTGATATGTTTTCACAGACGACCATCAACTCATCACCATGCTAGGCAGGGCAGGAAAATAAGTCCAAGATGCCATGTTTGGTAAGATAGGCAAGGTTAGGGATCCGAGGTTTAGATAAAAGAAAGAGTTGTAAGTCAACACAGGAGGGCTCTAATCCAGCAACAAGATAATTAATGAAGGTGATGTAGGCGCATCAGGAGGTAGCCACGCTGCCCGGAGAAACTAGAGGCTGGTTATCTGCTAATTGTCTGACTTTGGCAAGGTGACTCAGGCTTCCTCAGCCTGGTTTATCCACCTGCACTAACTCCCCTTGTGGACAGTTGTTAAGGCTTAGAGGTGATGTATGTCAAGGTCCTACCATGGCACCTGGCGTGTAGGGAAAGAAAGCAACCATTAATGATTGGCCTCTTTTTGAAGTTTGCCTATCTTTGGGTAGAGAAACACTTGGCTTGTATTTTTAATAACCAATAACCTTTTACACACACTTTGAGTCACACTTACTGTCACCCAGAGAGGTCCTTGAAGGGCTATTCATCTGATAAAAGCCAAGACAGAGGTATTTCTAACTTCTCTTGGACTCCCAATTTTATGTAAGACATGAAAAACAGCATGTTGCAAATTCATTGCACACCAATACCGAGTAACTAAACTTACTCAGGCCCAGATACTTCTGCTAGGCTCCAGTCCATTTTCTTGATGGCTGTTGGGCAGGTGGCTGTGGTTTTGTTGTAGCTGCAAGGAGAGGTGTGCTCATGGTCCTGCCGCTCCGCCATCTTAGCTGTAAATCTATATCCAAGCCCAGATACTTCTGTAGGACCTTTTCCTTCTAGAGCTGGAAAGGTAAAAATGGACTTCATGGAAAATTCTAGTGAATGTAAGAACATAATATATAAGTGAGTTAAAGAAGGAGCAAATGTGGACCTATGTTCTGGGAGTTTGCCTTGGGGATGGGGGGGAATGCTTTTACTAAACTTCTGTGAGCCTACAATATGAGTCAATGGTTTCACGCTGGAGATTATCTTTATAGGTCCAAACCCTAAGAGTGAGTGGGCCAAGCTCTTTGTGGCCTAGCCCACACTGTTTTCACATGTGCATTGATGAAGGATGTCCACCTCCCCATTGATATAGCCTCTCTCTCACCCAGACTCACGTGTCCTGGGGGGCTGGACATCTCTCTTCTCCTGGGAGTCTCAATACCACAAGTCTAACGTGTCCAAAGTGGAATTCGCCATCTCACCCACAATCCTGTTCCTCTTCCTCCAACACCACCAGCGACCTAAACACCCAAAGTAGAATGCAGACATCTTCCCTGCCTCCTCCTCAGCCTTGGTGTCCCCCATCTAGTCAGTCACCACGTGCTGCCAGTTCTAGCTCCAGAATCTCTCTTGCATCTAACTGCTTCTCCCCATTTCTTGGTTAGGACTCCACCACCTTTGACTTGTCTACCTAAAATCCATGCCTGAAGATGAGTTCAAATGTCTAAATGTAGTTACAAAGTCCTTCATAATCAGGACCCTCCCACCCTCTCCAGCCTCATCTCTCCCCAGACCCTGCCCTCCAACCACACTGAACAACTCTGCACTTCCTCTAAACTACCATGCTCTCCCTTGCCACAGGGTCTTTGCACGAGTTTTTGTCAGCTTGATACATACTGCCTCCTCCCTCCACCTCCTTAACTCCCTACTCACACCCTTCAGCCTAAAGATAACACCCTTTGGGAAGCCTTTTCAGGTACCCTGTCCACTCCATGGGTCAAAATAACTGCTCTTCCTTCCTTCAGGCTCCCAAAGTGCTCTGCATCTCCCTTAAAATAGCACAAATCACACAGCATTGAATTTCATCTATAGCCAGCCTGTTTCCATCACATCCGTTTTCCACATGAGGACAAGCTTGTTGAGGCAGGGAACACATCTCAGCCCCTGGTTCATATCAGGAGAGCAACAGATAGTCACTAGATGAAGGAATGAGTGAAATCTGACAGTCGCTAGAAACATCCCACAGTAAGGAAATCTGGGAAGAGGATCAGAATGAAGACATCAACAGAAACATTCTCACTCCTTGTGTTAAACGACCACGAGCCCCAGTCTTGCGGGCGCAAAATGCGTCCACTCTTACATGTTAATACAAACCGGGGAGACAAATGCTTTTCTCCTATTTATCTTGAACTCTAGGACCAAAGCACACACCTTGAAGTAGAACGATTGTGTGTGAACAACTGGTCAGACTCAGAATATATGTCTCTTCCCAGAGGAATAGAAATTCGACATTTTTATTGAAAAATAAATGAGAAAGCAATCTCTTTTACACAATTATTTAAATATCTAAGTAAAAGGGTGCTTTCTTTCTTTTCTTTTCTTTTTTTTTTTTTTTTTTGGTCTTAGAAAGACTGAAATGGTGCGGTATTTCTGGAACAGTACTTTTAACACAGTATAAATTAAACCTTTTTGCTCCCACGTTATTCATTATTTGATGTGTTATTCCAGGTTGACGTATGGCCCGTCTATTATTTTGCAAACCATTACATTATCACAGCTGCTAAGCTGCATAACTTAAGAATCCATAATACAACGGAGTCTCTGTAGTGGAGCGTGTGGTGCTTACATTCTGAATGTATTCATGCAGGGAAGTGTGAGACTTTACCAAAAACACATACAGCAGACAGCTTTTAGTGGATATTTATTACCATGAAAAGCAGACAGCCAAGAAATGGTTCAGACAGATCAGTGTATTCACACAGATTATTATCCAGCCCCCTCATCCTGCGTAAGGCTTGGTTCCTGCTATAAATATACCCCTCTCTGGAGGAGAAAGGACATGAACTCTTGGGGACTCCAATTCTTGGGTACACGAACTGCATTGAAAGCCATTTTCCCCACGTTGGTTAGTCCGGTGCCATTTTAAGTGACCCCAACTTGGTGCGCCAATGTTTATTTTGTTTCTTACAGCAGCTCATGTCAAGGTAAACCAATGATATCTCATCTTGGCCAGAATGAGATTATGTAGTGGAAAGGCTGTTCTTCTGCTGGTACCAGCCCAGGGCTTTCATTCCCCAGGCAGGTGTGGAAAGTAGGGCTAGAAAGCATTCTTGAAATTGTCAGGACCTCCCCGAGCCTCACCATCTTGCACCAAACTATGGCTCTCCAGCTCAGCTGGAAACCAGGCAATGGTTTCCCCCTCTAGACGACTCATCCTCCAGTCCTGGCACCTTCTAAGGACCCTCGTTAACATCTTGGGTCAAATACCATCACTCATCCAGATGCAGTGCTTCTCAGCCTTGGCTTCACACTGGAAGCACCTAAGGAACTTTAAAAACCCCAACATCCACGCCACACCCCAAACCAATGAACAGCAGAATCTCCAGAGAGGGGACCCAGGCATCAACAGTATTTAATCCCCCAGGGGATTCCACTGTGAGGCCACCTTGGGGACCACTGCCCCAAGGTGAGATTGTTGCAAGCATGGATTATCTGGGCCAGATGCTAGCTGAACGAAATTAGCTAGTTTCTATGCCGTCTTATGTCTTCACATCAAAAGAAAATAAATGAGTTGATGTGTTGGATTCTTAGTCAAGAGTGTCATTCTCAATAGGAGGAAAAACTTTTCATCTCTTTGAAAGTTGGACCCATAATCCTGGGACATCCTATGAAGTTCCCCTCACTTTGGGTCTGCTTTCTGGGTACTTTTATCACAGCCCTCTGAAGTCACAGAAGCTAGTGCCACGCAAGGCTTCCTTTTAGATCACTTGAGATCAGATGCAGCTGCTCTGGCAAAGTTCTTCTCCTCTTGAGCAAGGATGAAGTCTGTTCCGGGTATATTTCACCCTGCATCTTGCAGCTCATGTTCATACAATCAATTTTGAATTCTCAGGACACTCTCTATAGGTGTTCTGAAGGCAGATCTCTTATAAATTGCTCTAGCAGAGTGAAGAGTATGCACCTGTGTAATATAAGAGTGTCTTTCAACACATTGTTGTAACAATCCACTTTTGTTTGTGTTGATTTATCAATGCGCCTCTGAGAACAGTATTATCTTATGTGCAGGAAACAATATAGAAGAAACTGTGCCATGGATCTTTGTTTTGTGACCTGGGAGTGGATGAACCACATCTGTGGATTTTTCAGTTCTTTTTTTCTCTTCCCTTTCTAGTCACTCAATAACTAACTGCTTCAAAGGACTTGATCAGTTTTTCTACCCAGTTCCAGAGCCTAGAGCAATACCCAGCACATATATAGCAGGAATACACACGTATTGAATGAATGTGAATAGATGAACAAAAAGAATATTTTCAGGGTCATAAACTCCAACAGAACTGATGTGCAAAGGATAGCATTGCAGAGTCCCTGCCTTTCTTGTGCAGAGAAATATTTGTGTCATTACCAGTTCTAACAAAGTGACTCAACTTGTCTTAGCAGAGAACTTTCTCATGGAAAACGTCTTGAAATCCTACTACACAAGTAACGCTCCTGAGTGTGTGGGCAGCCCCTTCTACCCCTAATCAGAATCCGTGTGTGTATTTGAAGACAGCCCATAAACATGCCTCTGGTCATTTTCCTTCACTGCCTGCTGACTCTTCTCAAAAATGCCAAGATTATGTTCCCAAATGGTTAGACTGCTTCCAAATTGTCCTTCAAACTCCACTATTGGAACATTAATCAGGAAAACCAGTGAGGCTTAGAAGTATATTAATCACTTCTGGAAAATGTGGTCCATGTTCAATCAAACAAAATCAGTCTCAGAATATAAACACCTTAGGGAGTCTAATGTTTAGGACCCAACACTCTATTTATGAGGTCGACAGATTTTTATTTAATACCTACTACATGCCAGGCAGCGATATAGGCTCAGGGGATACAGCAGCGTCTCTGCTTTCATGATGCTGTGGGCCCTCTTCATCTGCTGGTGTGGGACCTGCAGATACAGGAGGCTGAGTGTGCTGCACCATTTTACATCAGACACTTGAGCATCCATGGATCTGGGTATCTGCGAGGGGTCTTGGAAATCCCCCACGAGGATTTCCATGGTGAGAAGGCTTCTTAGGAAATATATAGCAGGATAAGGAGTGAGGGGAGATGGGGTGTGCTGCTTTCTCTATAAGGCAGCTCTCTGTTGAGGTGATGTTTGAGGAGAGACACCAAGAAGTCAGGGAGCCAGGGGTGCAGCCACCTCAGGGGAGACCCCACCGGGTAGAGGAAACCACAGGGACACAAGGTGTGATGCAAGAGCATGCTTGATGGATTTGAGCAATGGGTCCCCTTCTGTTCCAGCAGCCGGAGCTGGAGCAGAGCAAAAGGGGGTGGGCCCGGGGGATAAGTGGTAAGCAGCAGCAGTCAGGGGAGTCTGAGGAGCTCAAATGACAGAGGACTGCACAGTCCATGGCATGGACTTTGGGGTTTTACTCTAAGCGAGACAGAAGGAGATCAGTGGTTTGGGGACAGAAGGATGACTTCAGCTGACATGTATTAAAGGAGTCACTGGCTACTAGACTGACAGCAAACCAGGCAGGGAAGCAGGGAGACTCACTAGGTCATTAGTATAAGAATCTTTATGAGAGATGCTGGCTCTGGAGGTGCTGAGAAATTAATTGAGTCTGGATTTATCTAGAAGGCAGAGTCTCCAGGATTGGCCGATGGACTGGGTAACAAGAGAAAGAGAGGGGTTAAGAAGGCGTCCTGAGCAGCCGGAGGATGGAGTTGACATTAAGATGGGAAATGCCACAGGAAGAGCTGGAAGGTGATGACAGCAGGGGCAGGGAGATAAGGAGTTCTATTTGGGTGTGTTAAACTTGAGATGATGGTTTAAAATTCAAATGGAGGACATTAAAAACACGTTTGGTATTTAGATGAGAGTCTAGACTGGAGAGATAAATGTGGATGTTTATAGGGAATGATGGAGCCAGCTTATCCCAGGCTCTGAAGAGCTGACTAAGTACATCTCTTCCCAACTCCACATTCAGTGACCATGTGTGGGCAGCTTGAAATGGGCCATGGAAATTGGCAAACATTACAAATCAGGACTTTTTTTTTTCCTGGGCAATCAATGATTGAACATTTACCAGTACACCCTTGGAGGCTAGTATTTGTAGCCACAAGACAAGGTGATATCACCTGGATGGTGGCACAAGGAAATATTAGAGGACTGGACCCAAGCTTAGAAGGCAGTTCCAAGAGGAGGAACCAGCCAAGGAGACGAATACAGTGCATCCAGTGAGGTGCAAAGAGAATTGAAGAGAAATTCTCAGGAGGGAGTGTAGGACTGTACAGTGCTGCTGATGGCTAAGTAAGAGAAGGACAAGAAAATCGTCCTGTTGCAATGTTATCAGAAAGCCTGTGATCAAAAAGCAAGCTGCAGGCGTCAGAATCCCCAGGGTGTTCTCCAAACCACACAGATGCACCGTCTCCACCCCAAGACATCCTGAATCTGAAACTCTAAGGGTTATAACATGGACTGAGGTCTGAGTATTTAATACTCAGTATTTAATAAGTATTGGAAGTACAGTCTTCCAGAAAAAAAAAGCACCAGTGAGGTAGGGAAAAGCGCACAGCACAGGAAAGGGGAAATAACGGAGCTGGGGAAAGGGAGAAACTCTCAGGACTGTTTTTCTCAACCTGAGGTCAGTCCTGGACAGAGGAAGCAGAGGTCGGGATGGGCGACAGGGGGATGGAAGTCTTGACAGCCAAGCCCAGCAGTGAATCTTCCTCCTTATAGCACCCCAGAAACACAGCATCCCTGTTTCAAACAGCCCCCCTCAACTTAAGCCACTATGTCAGAAAAGCAGAGCTGCAGTTGGTCCCTGAGAGCTAGTCCAGCCAAAAAAAAGAAAAAGGCAAGAGAGAAGATGAAAGAAGATTTCAACATCTTACGTTGGTCACCTGCATGGAAAGTCATCACCCCACCACCAGATCGATCTGAAGAAAATCTCTTTTTCTTTTGCTTTGTTTTGCTTCTGAAAATGTTTGCGAAAAAATGGTTTTCTGCTATCACATGTCAGAGCGCCACAACCCAGCCAAGTCCCAGAATAGACTTGAGGAAGTATAATTTAGGACTGAGCCCGCCACCAAATGCCTGAAATGAGCCAGTCCTAATTTGAATTCTGAAGGTTGGGGTTTGGACCTATTCGGTAAAAGTAACTGGATTTGGAGTGAACTGGAAGAAATCACGTCGTTGACATCAGCCTCTGTCTCACTGGGTCTCCGTGGTGTTTCTTGTAGAAGAAAATCTGACCTTCATCAGCAATTGGAACATAGCCCTTGATGTAGGGCCCATCAATAAAAGGGTTTCCATTTGGGACAATGGGGAGCATCCACCCCATTACCCATCCACCCAGTTACCACCTGCGTAGATCCCATCCCCACCCCCTTTCCTCTTCCTTTTAGGTCCATCAAATTCGAAGTAGTGTGAGAGAAGCTTTGAAAGCAGACGTACTATCGAGCACATAGATAAAACTGAAATATTTAGCTGTAAAACATATTAAATGCACTGCAAATGGGATACTTAACATTTAGATAAATGGCAATAAAATTTTTATTTTTTGAAATGTCAAAAAAAAAAAAAGCAGACGTGTTGTGAGTCTCTCCCAGGATTCCGGTCTGATGTTGTGGTGTGGAATTAGGCTATTTTCTTTCCTAAGTGGAATCAGTGTGCCTGCCTGTGGACAGGCTCCACCCTCAGCGCCCCTGGGAAACTCTTCTGCACGTGCGTAGTAACACGCTTGCTTCGAGCTGCCCTGTTGCAGGGCCAGGTCCATTCATGTGGGCGCTGGGTTCTAGAAACCCTCTCGTCAAGATGTCAACTCAGTACTTAAGGGGAGGATGAGGAAGGGGAATCCCCACCCCGTATCCTGCTGGATCCTAATCCTGGGTTTTCAACCGTCAGAGCAGTTAGGGAGAGGAGCTACTAAAGAAAGAAAAAATACTCCTCTGGAAACTCACAAGGAGAACTAGTTGCTTTAAAATCGACAACATAAAATGACCTGCTCACACCAGGGTCTCCGATGTGAGCTCTGCACCTGTCCAGAGGATGGTGCCCAAAAGCGGGAGCCAGGGTCCCCAGGGCACACGCCATCCCTTTATATGCCCCACTCTGGGGGTGGGGGGGTACCAATATCCTGTGGCATTTCGCTCAGCCAGTCTGTTCTTAATCATTTTAATAGTCCTTATTTCTAGCACCATCTCTGGACCTGTGTTCTGAGGTCCCCTCTGGAGAGCATGGGATCAACATGCCCAACAGCCAACAAAAATACCTTGGAGCCTGCGACTTCCTTTTTCCTTCAGTCAAATGGCCTTAAGGTGGCACAAGAGAAACATGTGTCATGTGTCTTAGAATAGGGCCAGTGCAGGCAAGGCTTTTTCTTGCTCCTTCTGAGACCCACCAATCAGAAATTGCAATTTTCAAGCGATTATCTCTATTTCTGATGGTACCCTTAGGACATAATCCTTCATCTTAAACCTGAGCTGCCTCTGTTCATGCTAGTCGTCCTATAAAATAGGGCCACACACAGGCATTATAACTCAAATGCCTACAGGAGTCAGGCAGGTCAGATACACGTAGGTCAAGAAGGAACGAGGTACCTAGCACACTGGAGAATTTGTCTCTTAGCAAAAGACCAGCTACTACTCAGCTTAGCCATGAGCAAACTGGGGCTGATGTTCCTGGATCTTCTGACTTTTCAAAGGAAAATCTCTGTATAATTGTCTTAAGATTAAGAAAAAAATATATACATCTATATGTATATATGTGTGCGAGAAAAAGATGAAATACCTCAATTTTATATGCTGGCAACAAATCCAAGCTTAAAGAAAAACACTGCATGCCAAATAAAGTGTGTTTGCAGGCAACATTTGGCCCAGAGGATGCCAGTTTTCAACTTCTGCAATAAAATGAGCACCGTCCCACCCCAAAGATCTATGTCTTCTCTCTCCCTAGTCTTAAATATCATAAAAAGGAGATATCGTGATACAAAAAATTAATCTTGGACTAGATCCTCAGACCCTCCAACTGGCATCATAATCCTACTGCTAAATCAGAATTTAAAGGGAAAAAAAATCTTATGATAGATCAAATGCAAATTTTAAAATACATTGAAATAAACGAACAAGTGAATGCATGTCCTCCAGCTGTAGGAAATAGGAAGAGTGCATCCTCTTTGCTGAGAGCATGGTGTTACTACCTAGCAGTGAGGTGGGAAGCCCCATGAAAAGATGGGCAGCAGCCCTAGGCAGGGCCACTACTTTCCTGTCAGCGCCATCCAGTTCCGTGGCCTGGGGGCATTATCTCGCTTTTTACTTCTGTGGAAGGGCTTGCTTCTAGGAAAGTGGAACTTACCCCTAAGATTCTATTGGTTCCCTAAGCTCACTCCTGATTGGTCCATTTGTAACACCTCATTTGCATAAAGCTCACTCCTGATTGGCCCATTTCTATCATTCCTGATTGGTCCATTTCTAAAAAGCTCATTCCTGATTGGTCTACTGTGTTACACCTTATTTGCATATGGTGTTGCAAAGTCTAGACTGGCAGCCTATAAAAGCCTAGATAAACCTACAAACAGGGTCCAGAGCTTGAAGTGTTATCTCTTCGGGTCTGCTGGCATAATAAACCTGAGTTCTCCAACCCAGCGAGTGCTACTTGGTCTCTCGCTGGGATCCAGGTTGCTGTCACAACTGAGCTGTAACACTGAGCTGTAACACAGTTTGCTGCAACAGCAAAAGGAATAGAACTTAAGAAGCAACTGAGTCTAATTAGTACCTGATAGGGCATCTTAGCATCAGCCCATTCTTTTGCTTTTGGCAAATGTTCTCTGGTATTAAAGTGGATGATATCAAACAGTTTTCATCCAGTGAGGCAATCGCTCCATCACCTAGAGATACAGTTTGCAGCTAACTCATATTTACTGACCAAGCTGTGTGTGCTCCTACTCAAAAGCAGAGACTGCACAAGAACCAGACTGAGGTTCTTTTATGGTCAAGGTGGTTGGCTGGTAACAGCAGAACTAAAATTTTTTTCATCTGAAATTATCTCTTTCATGCTCAATGGAGAATTCTGGGGTTTCAGCCAAGTCCTTGCACAAGGACTTGAATGGATTCACAGTTCCTTTTCTGATGAAGGCATTGACTCTACCCACAGGAGCTCTTGATCTTACCAGGCTCTCTAGGAGGAATGGTGCTCTAATTGGAGGATGGCACAGGCATGCTTCTCAACTGTCCCTTCCAAGTTGCATCTCTCACTTGTACCTGCAGCAGAGATTTATCTCTTTAATTTTAATCTCAGACTATCTTCACATCTGCCTCTTGCTGGATAAGACAACTTTGAATTGACTGCCCTCCAGCACTTAACCAAAGGCTTCCTGGGGACATATGACACCCAAGAGAGGCAGATCAATGGATATGGTAGATATTCATTACTTTAATCATTTTATATTTTCTCTTTATGAAGTTAAATGGTCAAATATCAATATACCTGGACTGTATTTTCTCAAGTGCCTGCTGAGGTTCTTTTATTACAATTTAACTCATCTTTATTGAAGGCTTTTTTTAAGTGATACAGCACCCCATTTGGCCAGAACTGGGGCCAAGAGATGTAGGACTTAGGCAGAACATGGAGTGGGGTGGGCAGGATTTACATAACATAAAACCAAGACAAGGAATGAGGGCTTGCTGGTGGAAGTAACCCCTAACAGAGGCCTCGCAGACAGGTTAATGGGTCCTGAGTGTGAAAAGAGTTAGATGGAGCTGGAGAAATCTAGAATTAAATGGTTGATGGAGACCAGCGAGATTAGAGGAGAAGTAGATTCAAAGCAGAAGGTAAGAGGGAGTCTGAAGGAATCACTAGAACCACTTACAGAGCTGCAGGCATGTCTGGGCACAGCCTGGGCTGTGGGCAGGCAGAGTAGGTAAGGGACCACCTTGCTCAGAAAGCCAACAGAAGAATCATCTATAAAATTGCTTCAGAGCCTTTTCTAAAATACCAGTTTAAAATATTGTATGAAGTCCCCCCTGTTAATTACTTTTGGAGCTAATAAGAAATATGTGGTTCAATTTGATTACCCTGCTTACCTTTGCTGCTAGGAAACTCAAGGCTAAAGTTGGGGTGTAACTTGCTTGTTATAGATGCTTTTTCACATTATCATTTTCCTTCTTTTCTTTTTCTATTTTACATTATCCTTAATTTCTTAGTTTACCCTTATATTCCAAGTATACATTTGAGCATCGACCCTCTGTACAATAGAATATCTGCGTATAACTTGTAGTTGGCTGTCCAGGTCTACAATTCCTTCCTATCCAAGATTCTGGATCTGTGGATTCTACCATCCGCAAATTGTGTAGTACTGTAGTACTGAGTACTGAAAAAATCCACGTATCAGTAGACCTACACTGTCCAAACCCATTTTGTTCAAGGGTCCACTGTTTATTTATGTGCATATATTTTGCCTCCTGCCAAGCAGCATGGAATCCTATAACTTTCTCTTCTGTTGATGTTAGATTCTATAAAGGAAATCAGCACAATGGAAACCTAGTCAATTGAGAGTTAAGAAACAGAACAAAATCCTACTTCGCTTCTCTTGGCAGAACTAACGATCCCAACAGGTGTATCCAAAATGCTGCAAGGTAAGCTGAGCCATGGGAACGTCGTGCTCTGAACAAGGCAGTTCTTTTTCCCAGAAGAAAATGAATTCATTTGGAATATTCAGCCCCAGAAAGCAGAGCTTCTCCATTTCACTCCCATTGTGTGCCGTATGGACTCTGTGACTCAGTGTAGCCCCTTGGTGGCAGTCAGAGGGGTACCCTTGGGAAGTTCAGAGAATACACTCTAGACGGTGTCCCCAGTGGAAGGTGAGAAGCTGAACATCCTCATTCTGAACCTCCGGGTCTGATGCCCACCTTCCATATAAGCTGCAACTCTGTCTGAGAATGGCTTTTCTCTAGAGTCCTAACCCATTCTGTTGAGAGGTGTTTCTGCTTTTAAATTCCCACGGGGATTCTGGAAGCCTCTGTTTTGTCCTTTTCACCCTCCGCTTCTTTTTTCTGTTCCTTTCTAAATTTTGCTCTCAGCGTGCTCTGCTGTAAACTGTCAGATGCACAAATGGCAACAGCTTCCTGGGAAAGGTTTGCTGCTGCAGGCGGAGGGTCCGTGCCAAGGAAAGGAGGGAAGCCCGGGCCACAGCTTCGGGGCAACCGCAGCACTCAGATTGCAGTTTCAGGAGAATTGTTTGATTTCCACTAGGGATTCTGAACCAGAATTCACCGTGGAAGCTGGCTCCAATTTCTCCTCCCTGGGGGATCTTTGAGCCCCACACATCCCCTGATACCTTGGCTTTCTTGTTTCCTTTGTTTAATGTTGAAGAACAGTTCATTACCAGAATCTAGTCTCTAATCTTGGCATTCATGGAAACAAAGATGGAAACAAAAGCTGAGCATTGATAAGGCTTCAATGGTCAGGTTTACCCCAAGAGGAAGACATAACACAGCCTAAAGCCTGGCTTCGGTCCTCAGCAGCTTTCTGAGAATTTCTGACCTTGCAATGTAAGATGTCACTGTCCTAGGGCTTGTCCACCTCGCCAGGTTATTGAAATACCCAATGCTGGCTAAGTGTCAAGGAAGCAAGACCTCGCTCCCCAATTGCTAAGACATCCGGCCAAGAAGCTCTGGCAAAGGAAGTCTCCTGAGTGCACTTCCTTCCATCCTGCAGTGAATTAACTGGGTCAGCTAGGGTCAAGGAGCAAATATCGAGTGACACATTTTTCTCCCTCTTTCCCTAACACGTCCCCAGACACGGCCTCTAGGGAGCAGGAGGACGGAAATGCAGGGACCGGATGAACGCGCCAGGCCAGGCCCCTCAGAAAGGAGAGGAAAGACTCTTCTCCTCTTCTGCCCTCTGCAGATTGATCTCAGGTCTCCAAGTAAATGACTAGGAGCAAATTCAGGCAGAAAGGAAGTTGCTGAGACCGAGGAGAACTTGACCTGTTAGATATGGATGTAAAGTACATTTATTCAGTGAGCTCCTACTTTGTGCTGTACTCTGCAGACACCTTCTCCTTTAACCCCCAGACAGTCGTGTGAGGCAGGCCTTGTTGTGCACCCCAACTTTACAGATGAGGAAAATGGAGCAGAGAGATTTAATCATTTGCCCAAGATTCCACAGCTGCCAGCATTGGCAGATCCGGGATTTGAACCTGGGCAGAGACCTCTCCGGAGGGAATCTGATTGGGGTCTAAACTGGAGGGAGACTCCTGGAGCTTGAGCTTCTGAGAAAAGCGTCCTCAAGGGAGGACTGAAGTTGCCAGATTGGCAAATGAAAACACAGGATGCCCAGTTAAATTTGAATTTCAGATAAATGACAAATAAATAGCGCTTTAGTATAAGTCTTTCTCATGTCGTTTATCTGAAATTCAGATTCAACTGGTTGGCCTATATTTTGTCTGGCAGCTCTAACTATAGGGCTACTTTTGTTTCTCTTGCCTTTCTCTCACATGAAGTAAGCACTCTCCCCACTTCCTTAGATTTCTCCTCCTGTGTCCCGTGGCACGCCTGAGCTGTTTCCTCATCTAATCTTGCTTCCAAATCAGTTGTTACCAATGACTTAATATTGCTTGAACACCCATAATATGCCAGGGCTTAGCTGTTGCTCAGAGAGGGGTGGCCTGTGCCCTCTGGGACCATAGGTGTTAGGGTACCAGCTCTGGGCATCCTTGCTTCCCACCATAGAAGTAACTGCTGGTGGGGGCGGGAGGTGCCACCAGGGGGCCAAGAAGACTCAGCTAACTCACTGTCTCAACCAGAGGGGTTCTGCTTCTAAGATGCTTATGTTTCCACGGACAGTTTCACTTGGGCAAAGATTTCCGTAAGTAAAAACAAGTTATTGAAGATCACTGATCTGGGCTGTTCTGCTCTAAAGCAGTGCTTCTCGAATGTCGGTGTGCAAAGGGATCATCCAGGGATCTGATCAAATGCAGATTCTGATTCAGCAGGTCTGGGGCGGGGCCTGAGAATACACATTTCTAATAGTGCTGATGCACTGAGGTGTCCATGGAGGAGACTTCAGTACTCAGTGTCCTCACAGACACGTGGACAGGGATTATTTTTCTTTTCATCTTTGTTTCTTGATGTTATCCCTTAATCTATACCTGTCTCTATATCTATCTCTATGTCTGTCCATCCATCTGTCTATTGCCTTCACCATGACTGTTATATACAGGTATTTGGGCAAGATCAGTGTGACTGTCCATCCCACTGAGTGAGCAGTGAGATACCCATGGTTACCAGGGGGTAGTAAGACAGAAGGGAAGGGACACAGCGCCTTGAGATGTTCCTTTTGGAAGAGCATTCCTTCCTTGGATAGTGTGAGTCCTTAAATATGTCATCCATCCTGGAATGGCCTCTCCCTCCTTGATGTCCTACCAAGGTCAGAGTCCACTATAAGAATTTTATATTTGCTAAATGTGGAAGTCCAACAGACCTGACACCATTCTGAGCCTTAAAAAATCTGTAACCCTTGCATGACCAAATGGGACTCTTTATGGGTTGTGTGGAATCCTAAGAAGTCCTCTGCACAGATTAAAGGCAGATCATGGCTTTTATATTGAGGTGGGAAGCCCCATGAAAAGACTGGCAGTACTCCCTGGCAGGGCCACTATCTCACTTTTGTGCTTCTGTAAAACAGCTTGCTTCTAGAAGAGTGGAACCTACCCCTAAGATCCTATTGGTTCCCAAGGCTCACTCATGATTGGTCCATTTCTAACACCTTATTTGCATATGATGTTGCAAAATGTTGCAAAGTCTTGACTGCTAGCCTATAAAAGCCTGTGTAAATCTACAGACGGGGTCCAGAGCTTGGAGTGTTAACTCCTCTGTGCCTGCCAGTGTAATAAACCTGAGTTCTCCAACCCTCTGAGTGCTGCTTGGTCTCTCACCCGGATCCAGGTTGCTGTGACTCTGAGCTGTAACACTTTGTTGTAACAATATATGAAGGAGATCATTTCCATTTCCTTCCCTGTTTTGTACAAATAGGAAACAAAATAATTAGGCCTGGGACACCAGCCCTGGCCTCTTATCTGATTAGATTTTTTTCACTTTCTGTTTTCTCTCAAATGTACTCATTTCTGTTAGATTTATTGCTCTTCCTTTTAAAAATTAAACTGAAGTGTTTATTTCTCAGCCACAGATGATATCAAGTGCTTCTGCCTGGGACTGACTTAATTCCCCCTCCTCTTCCTTTACAGCTGTGACCTAGTTAATTGTAGGTGGGGAGCAAACTCTGAAATCGTTCGACTTTCTGCTCTGCTTAGAAATCTTGCTCCATTAAATTGTAGGATGTCCTCCTTAATAACAGGAAGTCAGGTTCCCAGATCAGCAACATTTGTGTCCTTTGTGCATTGAGATAAAGAAGAGTAAGTGTTTTGCCGGCAGTTTCCTGGTGGTTAAGTGAGAGGGGAGAGAGGAGAGAGAGAGGGAGACACAAGAAAACGACACAAAGATGAGTCACTCATTGCTAAAACAAGAGTCTAAACGCTCTTTGTTGGTGGCGGATTGTAACCTCTGAATGTTCTGCCCTCCCGGCCACAGGGACAAAGGCGTAAGTGATTCAGGGTCTCGGTTTGGCTGTTTCATGCTGGCCTTTGGGGCACTCAACTCCTGAAACACCACATTACTAAGAAACCATTTTAGCTGTGGAATCAACACGCGTTACCAAGGTTCAGGCTTTTCAAGTCAACGAGTGGGTCCTTATGGTGGGAAGAAAGATTGGATTCCTTTTAACAAAATATTTCTTTTAAGTATTGAATTTCTTTTTTCGAGTGGGTGGGAGGGGCAAGGAATAATTGAGTGGAAGTTCCTTAAGTGTTGATTTTCCATTCTGCATATGGCGAAAAGTTCATTTATTAGCCCCTACTGTGATACGCAGAGGCAAATGGCAGTTCTTTTGAAAAGAGTGTCAAAGAATGGAATTGGGAACAGTTCAAACCGTGAGTGACCCACATCCGTTTCTCTCAATTGCCCTAAATCCAGGCATCAAGTTGTGTCGTGGGCCTAGATCAGCAGTTCTCCTGAAGTATAATGCCGAGGGAAGCTTCAGTCTCACCTGGGAACGTGTTCAAAATTCAAATGCCAGGGCTCTGCACCCGATCCACTGAGTCCAAAAGTCTGGGCTGAGGCCTGGAAGTCTGTGTTTTGGCACATCCTGCAGGTGATTCTAATGCAGGCTAAAGCATGAGCACGCTGGCCTGGACTCTGAGGGAACATTATGACTTAAAGGAACTCATCTTCAAGGCACAGAGACCTCAGTGCTGGGCTATGGCCGTGCTTCTTTTCCATGGTAGGATCACTGGGGTGTTTATTTAAGAACAGCAATACCAGCTCTCTCCCTCAGGCCCATAAAATTGGAATCCTGAGGGGTGGGGCCCAGGCAAAGCATTTCACTAAAACTTCCTGGGTGATTCTGACAGGAAAGCAGGGGCCAGGTAAGGGAGGGATGCTAACGTGGCTGAAATGCTGATACCTGGGGAGAGGGGGCCACAGTCTGTCAAGCAGGATCCAGGCAGGCCTTGCAAACTTGACATTCCGGGCAACAGAGATGTCCAGAGCTACGGGTGGCATCACTGTGATGGGTGGCGGCAGCGGGGGTGGGGGGTGTTTCATTCTGAGCCGATTGGTAGTAACCTGTCAGACCCTGCCTTGCAGGCCCCTCCCAGGTACAAGTGTGACAACTGCTAACTCCCCATCCCTAAATTGGCACAGGTCAAAACCAGCCAAGTTCCCAGAGGCCAGCTGGTCCTAGCAGGAAGCCTCCACTGGCTCTGAAGCCTGGTATCTAGTGGCTTAGGGTGTGCTGGGGACCCTCATGTCCCCAGGCTGTGGTTGTTTCCTCCCTAGCCCAGGCCAGACCAGCGGGCTTGTGCCTTTGACCCTGATCTGTGTCTGCTTCTCCATGAAGACTGGAGCCTGCTGGGGCTGCCGTCCTGCTGCCTCGCTCTTGCTAACCCTGCTCTAGTTGGGGGCCCTCCTTCAGATCAGATCGGATCCCAATCCTCTCCTGTATCTTTCCACATCCTGATGCCTGAGCCTACTTCAAACCCACCACCAGAAGCCAAACTACATTCAGGATAATTTAAATGGGGCCACGGCCTCAATCAGCCTGAAGCCACTGACCCCTAAAACACCCCAGGGCAGTGTGATCTGCCCACATGGCACCACCCAAACCCAACTTCCTTTTCTTATGCTTGGCCTTCAAATGGCAAAACCGGCCCCCCTCATGCTAAGGCCCCAAGAGTCATTATGAACAGAGTGGTCAGTGCTGAGTGTCCAGGGGGATGGAGCTGTGAGGGCCACACAGCGTGCCACCTGAGCTGGACTTCAGAGCTGGACCTGGGTTCCAGCCTAGGAATGCGATGCAAATCAAGCAGACGTGGGAAAGGTCAGGTTCACCCAAGGGCCACCTGAGCAGGGCCCATTAGGGTAAACAAGTCCTAGAGGTCAGCAGCTGTGTGTCTATCTGTGGGAAAGGTCCCAGGCTGTCTCAGGAGCGGCCAGGAACAGGACAGGGCAGAAGCAGTAGGGCAAAAGATGACTATCTAACGGTATAGATAAGTTCCTTTAAAAATTAAACATAGGCTCACCAGATGATCCAGCAATTTCATTTCTGGCTATAGAGCCAAAAATAAATGAAAGCAGAGACTCAAACAAATATTTGTACACCCACGTTCATAGCAGCCTTATTCACAAAAGCCACAAGGTGGAAGCAACCCGTGTCCATCAGCAGATGAAGGGATAAACAAGATGTGGTATATGCATACAATGGACTATTATTCAGCCTTAAAAAGGGAAGCAAATTCTAACACACAAGCTACCACGTGGATGAACCCTGAAAACATTATGCTAAATGAAATAAGTCCAGTCACAAAAGAACAAATACTGTGTGATTCCACTTGCCTGAGGTACCCAGAGTAGGCAATTCCATGGAGACAGAAAGTGGAATGGCGGTTGCCAGGGGTTGGGGGCAGTTTTCATGATGGGGACGGAATTTCAGTTTCGCGTTCTAAAGATGAATGGTGGTGATGGTTACACAACAATGTGAATCTACTTCATATCATTGAATTGTACACTAAAAAACGGTAAAAAAATTTTTGTTTATGTATGTTTTACAACAATTTTTTTCTAAAGATTAATATCTAAAACCCAGAGGGTTAGAGCATGTGAAACCTGCCAGGTAAATGCTTCACCCAGGAAATGAGGGAGTTGTCATCCTGGTTTGGGCTTCGAACACATGTTTAATTTCATGAAGCCCTTGCCACGTGGGTGGTTGTTTTTCACATTGTGAAATCCAGCCTGAGTTTTGGTGGAAGAGGTGGGGTGTTTCCTTGAGAGGGTGCCTCAGGCTGCTTAATTGTGGTCAAACTCACGAAGGAGGTCTCAGACCCGCCCATTACCTGTCCTTAATTAACAAGAAGCCTGCTCCCAGCTGTGATACAGCAAGGCCATCTTCCTGGGTTTATTAAGAGACACGAGCAGGAGGCACTTAGCTCCTAAGCGTCTCCTCACAGCCGAGCTTTAAATCTTCACCTTTGTTTCTGCATTGAGGGAGAAATAACCAATACCCTGATCCAATTTCCTCCCTCTCTCATGGAAATTTACCTCAAATTATGCCACATAGAGACCTTTTTGAAAAAAAGGAAAGAATTCATCATACTGTATTGTTCATGACAAGTCAAACAAAGTCTCAGCTAGTTTCCCTTATAGACGTTCAGACACTTTCATGGCCTGGGTGGTTGTAATTACGTTTTTTCTCTTGAATCGTTTAAGGCCATTACATTTCTTCCTAGCGCCTGCTTTTCTGCTCCTCCTGCCTGTCCAATTTTAGGGTTGCCAGTTGAGGAAAAGGACCTCTTGCAAATTCAGAGAAACAGTGAGCCTTGGGTTAAGTAATTGTTTCACTTATATGGGCCGTCTGGGGTCTGTCAGAAATTGGGAGGCCATGGAAGAGATCTAAACAAAGGGACTTTTTAAAAGATTTTTTCTTATTGAAGTATAGTTGATTTACAGTGTTTCGGGTGTACAGCAAAGTGATTCAGTTATATTCAGTTATATGTGTATAAAAAGAATATATATATATATATATATTCAGATTCTTTTCCATTATAGGTTACTACCAGATATTGAATATAGTTACCTGTGCTTACAGTAGGTCCTTGTTGTTTTATCTATTTTATATCTAGTAGTGTGTTTCTGTCAATCCCAAATCCCTAATTTATCCCATCTCCCACTTTCCTCTTTGGTAATAAGCAAAGGGAGTTTCAGAAGGCTGAAGTGGGTATCTGCTGGAGCCTTCCTTCCTCCTCACCTGTATTCCTGGAGCTTGGCAGATCCCAACGCACCTGCTTCCTTCCACCTGCAGGTCATTATGCCCCACCGGGAGCTTGACTACTGCCCGAACAGGGAGGCTGTGAAATCCGCTGTCAGGCAGATGGAGCAGGGTCTGGCCTGCCATGCTTTCTCTCCAGCCTTCTGCCCAGCTGTGAATACCTGGCTTGCCTTTCCGTATGTCTTTTGGGATGTTTGCTCTCAGTTCACCTAATTTCTGGCCTCCTGGTAGACCTGAACTCTAAATTCATTATTCACAGACATTTTGATTGCCTGCTTTGCACTCATTGATGCCCCTTGACCTTTAAACTCTGGATATCTCTGGATGCCTGGGTCCACTGTCCTGATTTGCTAACCATAATCTGCCTGCATCTCCAACCCCCATATAGTTGTTAGTTTTCCAAGCTCTGTTGCTAAATCCTAAGCCATCTTTACTACCCTCGGTCAGCCATGGATGCAGAACAGAGCACACCACTCGTAATCAGGCTAATTTAAATGGTTCCAAAAAGCAGCACTCCAAATAGATATTTTCATCCATAAGAGATCTTAATGAGAAAGTACAGTATTAAATTCTTCAGTGGTCACCCAGGCAACTCACCACATTAATGAGCTTATCCTAAGACAGATCTAGTTGTGTATGTATCAAAGGATTTGCTTCTTGGCTCACTTTGAGTTTGTAATACAAATGTCCAATTCATGGACTAACCCAACCCTCACTGAGCAACTCCACTAAGGAACTCATGGTTGCTTTTCCTCTGATTTTTTGTGTTTGGGGGTTTACTGTCATTGTTATGTGTGTTGTTTCATGAGAAGACTTTTATTAACTCTAGAAAATGTGAGGGACTAGAAGAGAATGGATTTGTTGCCACTACCATGTTGGAACACTGTCTCTAGAGGCAGGCATAGCTGTGGGTGGTTGGGGTCCTGCCCTCTGGACTGGGTGACACTAAGGATACAGAGCACCAGGGTGGGACAACATGGTGGTCAGGAGGTGGTCTCCCAACTGGGCTCCTCGGATGGCAGGCATCCTTTGTATCTCCACTTTCCTTTTCCCCTTGAGAAAAGCATTCTAAGAAAGCAAGGGGGAAATGTAGCTAAGAGAATGGCTTCCCAGAGTCATTATCTCACCAAAATTGCATCTGACCTACAAAAGTGGCATCGACCTCACCTCCATTAGCAAGGCCATTCCATCCCCATTCATCACGCCTCCAGCATTGTCATTGTCATAGTGTGTCATGTCTTCACTACTGAGTAAGAAAGGGGACACAGAGCTAACCCTATATGCCTGCTCTTTGAGAGGCCAAAACAAGGACAATGGAGACTCCTGTGACCCAGCTTAAGCTCCTCCAGGGTAGATTTTATGAAGGCACGTCACCCAAGGGCAGCAGGAAAAGTCACAAGCCTATGCTTTTGTATAAAATACACATTTTCGTTCATTCTTTGTCCTTATATTTCTATTAAGCTCAAGACACTAAGGATTTAAAAAAAAAAGTAGGATTGCTAAATTAGAAGGAATTTTAGAGAGGAAAGAGATGCTTTACTAGAAATGAGTAACCCATGTTTGAAAACTAATCTATTATGAACCACGTAGTATTATACACAGGATAACGCCCGCAGCTAGGGCAAGAGTTAAAAGGAATCTAAGCTATAGGCAAAAAAGTAAATGTTCTTGTCACAATTTACCTCTTTCCAACTCTACCTCCCTTCCTTTATGTCTGGAGGAGAAACATTAACTTCCTCCTCACCGAGTTATCCTCAAACATCCTCACAGCTTCTAGACACAAATTTTCTAACGTCTTCTTGGTTCCACTTGGAGGGAAAGTTATCTCTTGACAGCTCTCCTCTGAGCAGTAACTCATCCACGTGTTCCTCTGTGAGAAGGAAGTGGAGGTGGTTCTCAAGCAGCAGGCAGACCCTCCTCGCCACATTACAGCTTCACTCCTGACAGTCCCCAGACCATTTATCTTTCCAAGTGTTTGCAAGCTCGAAACGAACCAGGGAGTCTATATTTACATATAAGGCGGTGATCACATAAACACATACTTGCAAAATATATGTTCAAAAACCATCCTGGGCCACTGAGTTCCATGGAAACCAAATAATAAGAGATTAAGGGAGAAGCTGGGGGCCTTTAATTTCTCTTCAGGGTCTGGAATAAAATCAGGAGGCCCTTGATTTTATTTCTACTGGGGCCTGGCATGTATATGAGAACTGACTTTCGTAACCAGGGTAATTGATAGGATGACATCACTTTTATGGCCCCAGGATCCCTTGTGTAGTGGTTTGTAGAGCTGGGGCGGAGGGGGGGAATATGTCTAAACATAGCTCTTGGCGTGCAGCTCTGGAGCACTTAAGCCAGAGGGCAGCTCCTGCCTTTCTGCTACTTTCCCAGGGACCCAAAATATTTTTATGTACCCGGCTAAGCATTT